GCAGACTATCCATGCAGTCACGAAATCCTCTATCTACAATAAAAACATCATTTTCTCTATAAAAATTATTGAATTCCGTTTCGTTTAATAAATCATTCATTATGGTCGCATCATTTGTAGTGGCACTATATGGTCCACGTACATCTATGATATATCCATCAGAGGTACAGAGCATAAAAGGCTTTATTAAGTTCCTATATTTATGTAGGGAATATGTGTCTTTTTGGAACAAGTAATTACTGCTTTTTTGTGTATATATATATGTTGCATCGGCTATTGTAATTGCAGGTTTTTGTTCAGCTGGCGCATCAGGCTCACCAAAAATGTGATTGGCAATGTTGGTAGTTTTTGCTGCCACCTGCTCTCTTCTTAAATGAGAAAATCCAAGAAATTGTGGAACATAGTCTGTTAACAAGATATTTCTTGCTACAGACATTAATGTTTCTATGGTCCTTCTTGGTACTTGAAATAAGCACGACAATCTGTCTCCTGAATCTCCAGTCCTTAACTTGCACAATAAGGCTGTTAATGCAAAACTACCCCGATGCATATTCCTCAGCCTAGGTGTTGCTTCTAATATTTGTTGATGTTCTTGTTTACTTATGCCTATAAAGTACTGCACTTGGTTATCAGGGTAGTTTTGAATATTTTCATAAGAAATGTTATGAAGTCCTTCCATTAATATAAAAATAATCTCTTCTATTTGTATGGAAGTAAAGTAATTAAGGCTGTATTCAGCAGAATACAGATTTTCATAATTTGCCTCCTGTCTATGCAGAGAACAAATACGAGCACCTCTTGGTATAAAATATTGATACCTAATTAATACTTCTCGCCTGGTTTCTTCAGGCACAACATTTCGCTCTGGTTCCATGCATTCTTGGAAAATGCAATGCTTGGGTGTTTCAGCCGCTCTTCTTATGTTGGGCAACACAATATGCTGGGGTCTTTCTTGTGGTTCTTCTGGAACATGTAAGCTCAAATCTCGAGCTTGGTCCCAGCAAATTCCACAAACTTCATTCATGGATGACATCTGTAAATAATTAATTTCATGAGATGGCCATTGATATCAAAAGAGTCAATACTATTATATATGAAATACAAATTAAACACTAAGTTCAATAGACATAAGTTGTCGCCAACATGTTCAAGCATAAAAGAAACACAAACAAGAAAGATGTAGGGTACAGTGAGATTTCTGATTGAATTTGGGCAACCCAAGCTGGAGAATGGTTCTTGAGATACTATATGTATGGATAATAATTGGTTTCCTTCACCTTACAGAAAACCTTTACCAAATAGCTATGTTGTGTTTCTATGAGTGAATAAGTTTATTGCTCATTGGAGTAAAGGAGAAGGGCTCTTTGTTGTTAGTAGAAACAACCTCATGAGTATCCCAGGGTTAGCAACATTTAAGTGTAAAGCCCTTTGCATGGCAAGTGTTTATAAGCTAGTTACTGTAAATATATTATCTCATATATACCTGCTGATGCTCCAACAAACGGGCAATATTGTCGGAATTCCACTCTTCATCTGATGTTGTGGTGGACAGACTCCGTCCACATACAGCACACATTAAAACAGAATAATCACCATCCACATGATCGGGTGAAGGGGGTTGAATGTCTTCAACTGGTGGAGCGATCCTCGTTCTTCTAGCTCTTAGCCAACATGGCACACAAGCTTCATCTTCAGAACAAAGCTAAAACAAAAATATAAATAAATAAAAACTTTCACTCAAACATGCATGATAATAGTGGGAAATAATTAATATTATTTTATTTCTTAGTTAGTTTATTTTTTAGTTTAAATGAAATAAAAATATTTAATAATAATTATAGTAGGTATACCTCTCGTGGTTGGATCCAAGTAGAAACTGTATTAGCCATTCTTTGTTCTTCTTCATTGGCCCCTTCAATCAAAATCCTACGTCGACTAATTCTAAGTATGGATCGTCCGCATACAACACATACTTTTTGATGGCCAACTCGTCTTCTCGGAATATTATTAGATGAAATTGAATGAGTAGCTAGCTGCCAGCATGGATGACAAATATGGTCAGCAGGTGTTATCTGGAAATAATGAAATTATTTGGAGTACTGTTCAACATTATATACTTTCCTCTCCTTTTCAGTGGTCATACTATCAGACTAATACCTATTCTAACACTAAGGAGAACCAAGATACATGTAAATAACAAATTGTATGCATACACATAACCTTATTTTTTAGTTTTTAGAATATTATATACATATTTAGTGTGGTATGGTGTGGTTTAAATGATCAGGACTACTTTTCAACACGTAAAACTCATTACAGAGTTCGTCACTAGCCCACTCATATGTGGAATGTTATTCGTAAACTACTTACGTCTCTAGGATATGTCCACAGTCGAATAGTATTGACGACATCTTTACTCTCATCGGATAAAACGTGCCTTCTTATTCGGGACAAGCGAACGTTGCAATTAACACATTGCAAACTCGACATTTTAATTATAGCACGTACACACACAACACAGTTAATATAGCGTCCTTTCGCGAAACTACTATCAAGAGATAGAGTACGGAGGAGCAGATGCTCAACTCAACGTAAAAACAGCCAGATAATTCGCTAAATTGCTCAGATGTAGTCACAAACTACAATCCAAAACAACAGCAAAGAACTGAACTGAATTTAACTGAAAGACAGATTGTCTTTACCTGTCAATAAATAATTGCCATATGAACAAAAAAAATATTGATGACGAAAACATTCCTATCATTAAATCGTTAACCATTATGATTTATGCAACAATTATGCATTCTTAGGTATAATATATGTTTTTTTAATTATGTGTTTAATTATATGTAGTGTTATTTCTATTTCTAAATAATTAATTATCATTTCGATATCTGTGCTATTTTACATGTGGCAACTTCTAAAAACAACTGCGTTCAGTTTACGATTATATTACGTTTTTTTATTAAAATCTTTTTATTGATATTATTAATTAATCCCAAGTTCTAAAAATAGTACACTAACAGGAAAGTAAATAACTTAGTTGCCTTAATATGTGGTACAAATTCTATAACAAAACAACAAAAAAAGTATGCGGTACGAAATCTGCCATTCACCTTTGTAGAATGTTCGTCAAATGTTATAGAAACGACATCTATATTAGCTTCAGACCACTTGAGAAGACATAATTTGATAAGGTTTACTTTTTGTTCTCTTGACATATTGTTAATCAAAAAATAGCCTAAAGGGATTTTGAATTGAATAAAACTATTTATATGGATTTTATCGCGTTTAATGAACTTATTTTTAACTTATTTTTTAATTCCCGACGTTTTGAGTGCTTTACAGCACCTATAGCCACGGGGTAGACTGAGATGTTTGACGTTCCAATGTTTAGTTAACCCGGCTACCTTCAGTTTTAGAATATTAATTTTTTGTCCGATCTACGCAGAACGGGCTTACAGTATCTTGAAGTCTTGCAGTGGTATGCTTGGGTTTTATTTAATTTTGTTATTTGTAGGATCCCAAGCAGATGGCAGCACCCATCCATATTCTCTATTGAAATTAGGATGTTTTTTTTTTAATTTCAATAGCCTCGCGTATAACATCGTAGGTAGGAATCGGTGTTCTTTTGCAAAGATTTGTAGTTTATCAAATCTGATGTAATGGTGGGGACGATCTTAAACAAGTTCACAGACGTCAGCAATATATTCTTTCACGCGGGTTTTTATAGATCTTTTTGTCCTATGTAAGAGAGACCACATTCAGCTAGCTTGCAGGATATGATAGCGATGCAGGAGTGTACAACCTAGATTATGAATGTGGTCTCTCTTATATAGGACAAACAAAAAGAACTACAAAAAACCCTCGTGAAAGGGATTTTGTATTGATATCGCTTGGGTAGCTAAAAGAGCTGACTCATCTACACATCCCATGTCCACTAAATCTATATACTTTTTGCCATCCCAGAGTTTTTGTGGCCTAATTGTCCATTTCATCAAACACCAAAGAACATATTGGGCGATGTTTACTGATTTGGGATTTGGCTTTTAAGGGCTGAAATTACTCCTCTGTGAATCCCGGATTTCCATTAATGCTGGGTGCATGACTACTGCCTAGACGGCGTGTAATGTAGGAGACATGTATTAAATGTAATTCTAACGTATTCGTAAGCCTTTGTATAGTAATAGTTGAGCGATGGACAAAATCTCTTAGGTACCGGTGTATACTTAATGCTTTTTTAAGCCTTTTAAGGTGCAAATTTTTAAATAAATCTATTGTTGTCATATTTTCACCTAATAAATTATGTAAATCTGTGTCAATTAAATTTTGTTTTTTTGAATAATTGATGATTATTTTTAAGATGAGTGCTTATTTTTGAGGCGACTGGCCCTTTGGTGTAAAAATTTAATTTAATTCCTTTTTCTTTTTAAATTAAGCTCCTGTTTGTTCAACTTTTTTCTCTGTTTATGTTTTTTGGGTGTATCAAAGATTGACTCTTGGTCAAAGTCTGCTTTAGCTGACGACGACTGCTATCATGATCTGAACAAACCACACTAAATTAGGATGGCTGTTATTGTGGTTTATTTCAGCTCTAGCTTAGCAGCTTCTGGTCTAGCAGCGTTTAGGAGCGGAGAGGTCCCCTCCTCGGACTGCCGTCTGGTTTTCCCTCTAGTGGCAAACCCAGATGCCTCCATCACAGGTATCGTTATGCCCTGATGGAGAACTTTCGGGCTTGTGCTGCTTTTCAACTTGTCGATGGCGGCGCCAAACTCGTCGTTCAGGTCCATGATAGTTATAGATTTCCTTCTCTAAAAGTTCAGATTTTCTTAAAGAGGGAGGATAGGAGGAAGGAGGCAGGACCCTCGACGCCGAACGGATGGTCTGGATCGGGGTCGGGGTGGATTTGACTGGAGGGAGTATGCTCCGCGGGGCTGCGGGTTAGGGTGGGCTGGGATGGTGGTGGGTGTGCGGGGGTCTAGAGGTGAGGATGAGTGTGATCAGTAACGGCGGACGCGCCTCCACGGCGGCTCTCTTTCGTCCTCTTCACTGTCAGAGGACTGTTGTCGTCTGCTACTAACAGGGTACCATAATCTCGCAAATTTTTCTCTGATCTCATGTGTCATTTCTCCTAGTTCCGCGGCAGCAACCTTCTTTATATACCTATCTATTAGATAAACGTGGCGCGATGTATGTGTCTGCGACAATTGGAAATTGTCCCCTACCAGTTTATTAATCTTAGCGTAAGAGATGGCAGCGTAGTACAAATCAGGAAAGTGAGAATGATTAAGTTCCGGGTGTGTCATCGGATTTCTGACCCGACTGAATGCTAAATGAGCATCATTCTTTCTTGCGCTATCCAACTTGGTTTGAAGCAGGAGCGCCTGATCGAGAGCAGCTGGTATTTCCAGGGCTCGACAGTGTGACATTACAAAGGCGTCCATATATTGGACAGCCTTAAGGGATGAGAATTCCCACACTAACTTGATTTGAGAGAGCACAGCTCCATTGCCACCTACCATGTCAAGCACTACCACTCTATCTACGATCTCCTATCTGAGATCGTCTTTAACAGCTACTATGCCTTGGAACCTTGTAGCGAGAGCAGTAATGCCTAGCCACGATTCAGAGGGCACAGTGTCCGCGATAGAGACAGAAGCTAGCGCGGCTTTCCACCTCTTTATAAAAGCCGGTGTGTTCTGGGCTGTTATGGGTTTTGCCAGCGTCATGAGTGATGAGAGAGTTAGCGCAAGCAGACCGGCACCAACTGCTGTGTCCGATACATTTGGCCTTATCTATATGGATGGATAGGAATGCCTTATCTAGCAACATCCATACACAAGGTGGTGAAAGGGGCCAGGAATGCCAAGACAGCTGATAAAAGGAGGTCATCGGTATATTCAAGTTTCCCGTTTATCATCTCCGCTCCATTTTTATGGCATTCTCTCCAGTTTTTCACATATTGATACTGTTTGCGTGTTGTCAACACTAAGGTGTGACCACTTTTAGGGATGTTGTATGGCATTTTTATCTTTATAGATTAGTTAATCTGACTTTTAAGGTCCTCTTTTTAATCTATCTCAGCTATCTATTCATCTTTTATTAAAATTATTAAAATATTAATTGGAAACCTAAAACCATAAAAATATTAGATAGTAAAATAGTATGTAAGTACTTAAGAATTGAAACAGAAATATCAGCGAGTAAAAAAATTAATATTTACCGTGATTTCAATTTGATGTAACATAACAACACGTAATAAAAAATTATTATGTTGACTTCATATATTTCTATGGCAACCTAAAACTTACTTACCTAAATATTGGGCTATTAGAAATACGAAATTCTGGCAATACTCTCCTGTTCCGTAATCTCGGAACATTGACATTCGTGTTGCGAAAATACTCAAAATTATGTTGGAATGACAAAAACGTAGTTAAATGAGTGCTTACGTGTGAAAAGATATTCCTTCATTTGTTTTATTAAAGGAACTGAGTCTTTTGCCTTCACCAAAGACATATTAACAAAGGCCGCACTTTATTGATCTCTTTTACTTCATCTGAGCTGTTCACATATATATTTATTTTGTTACAGGGGACCTCATCAGAACCCGAAGAAGAAAATAATGGAAGTTGGTGGAGATACCTTTATCCGTTTTACTATTTCGTTTGAGCCACGAAAAGTTTTAGAAATTATTTGCAGAAGGCAAAATATTATTATGGACAAAAGTTGAATATTCCGGGGGAAAAAAAATTTTATTGACAGTAGGAAATGTATTTAAAGTGCGTAAAAAGAAACTTCTTTTATTAATATGTCCATTTTATAAAGAATTAAGAATTTTATGATAGTTAAAAACTATTAGGGTTACCGCCATCTTGTAATATGTCGGTATTAACAAAAAATCGTACGTACGTCATTATTTCCCGCCGTTTTAGTTAAAAACGCTTTAAACGTATGATAAAAAAAGCTACAAGTCATTTTATACTAAAATGATCGCGTTTCGTGTTGTAATGTCTGTTTGGTGGGAATTAATAAATATTATGAATACGTCTCTCAATAGTGACTGTCGCTTAAGTATTACAATCTGTGTGACGGGCGTCGCTTATCGCCGCAAGCACAGAGTTTTGCGGTACGAGACTCGCAACTGCTGTCAAGCGCGGGGCCGGGAAAGTGAGTCGACATGCCGGCTTTTTATTGTGCGTTCTCAAAAATAATTCGCGGACCGAAATATGTAATGAGTTTAAGAACTTAGATTGATACTAGCTGGCCTGGCAGACATCGTTCTACCCTTTACGGTAGGTAGCCCTGAGTTTTGATCCGAATTCATTCCGAACCTTTAATAGTGCAATATAAAATTAATTTAGGCCATTTTAGTCCATAAATATTGAATTTGTAAATACGAGTACTAAATACATTGTGTGAATATGATCTCAATCGATCGAGTTCAGAAGTTACTCTAACACACACACACATACATACATATATATATGTATATATGTGTGTGTGTGTGTGTGTGTGTGTGTGTGTGTTTGTGTGCGTGTTAGAGTAACTAAAGTAGTAAGTAGTAAATTAAATTAAAATACAATTATACAGGGTTGTTTTGCAATATATATCAATAATTCTTTAATAAATCTTTTAAATTCTGAATGCGGTGTAATGTATATGAATTTATTATATTATTATATATTATATTATTTTAAGTGATTGATTTCATATATATCTAACGCCAACTATTTTACTACGCACACATTCGTAAATTTGCTCGGTCGGCAAAAACGTGAATTTAATCGCACACAGAGGAGTATGGGAACGCGTATTTGTCGCCTATAAATCGCATTCAATTTAGGATAATATCAAATAAAAATGGAAGCTTTATTTACTCGTATTTTCAATTATTGCAATAACGGTATATAATTGTTTATATATTTAGTCTTTAATATAAAAATTGGATACTTTTTGAAAAATAACCCTGTATATTTGTTGGAATGTGCTGTGCACATGTATTTTACTACAGATATTTTACAATTAATTCAAAATCATGAGTCATTATTCATAATTCAATCAGTCAAATTAAATTTTTATAATTATTGTTTGTTAAAAATTAGTTGTCAATAAAAACAATACCGAAGTTACCGAACAAGTTATCATGCTACATTTTTTTCAAAGGTTGATGTATATTGTATATTTTTAAACGTACATCTGAGCTGTTTTGAAATTTAGCGATGACTGGCCAAATATTCAAACGCTTCTCAATTTTAATATGTTGTTAAGTCTCGTGGTGTCACCGTCACTTTGACAGTACGAGAATTAACGGCATCTTAAAATTAAGTAGTGTTTTGGGTATTAGTCGCTTACATAATATGTATGTATGTATTATCTGTGGAAATTTGATGTCCGTAGTTAAAATAGGTTTTAAGTGAATTGTTTTTTAAACACGAGTTTTTGTAACTGATGACATATATATATATATATATATATATATATATATATATATATATATATATATATATATATATATATTATGTCAAAATAACTCGCAGGCAGGCGCTTGTAGCTTATTAATTTATCATAGTAACATTTAAATAATATAAAATGAGGGGTGTTGATGTGAAATAAAGCAGCGTTTTCCCGCTAATGTATTTCGTTGGGTAGCGAGTTAGTCCAATGAGGGCACACATTGTTCTGCCACTAGGGCGGCTCCACTTAGTTAGGAATGAGGTGAAAAATTTGCTAGATTGCATAGCGGGGGAAGTTGACTTGCTAGAAATATGTAACTGTTAAATAATGTTGCTTTCTGAAATATTAATTATATTTTATACAAGCTATTTGCCGCGGCTTTACGCGGTTGATTTCTAGATCTCGACACCGGGCCACCTACAGAGTGTGATTGTGAATCTAAACCGTTCAGGGACCCACTAGTGCGGTTCACATAAAAAATGTCATCAAAATGTTCGAGCCGTTTTCTTGTTTTTTGAGCGAGACTAACGGATATCAATTGATTTTATATATAGATATTAATAAGATTACGAATGGATAAACCAAATTAAGGACTATGTGGTCGTTTATCACCCTTATTCTATTAAATAACCTTGGCTCAATCTGCTGAGCAGAAAATCGCAGTAACGATCGGCGGAAGTGGGAGGGTTAGTTATCGGAGAACTTTTTGCGTGCGGCTTACAGATACCATTATTATTATAACTTGTTATGTACGTAGCTTAAAATTGTATAGATAACGTTTGTTTTAAACATATTTATATCATGCATTGTAATTGTTGTATAGTTCGTTTTTTTTTAAATCCTAATGGTAGAATGTCAATTTGGAAATGTTGCTACATTTATTATTACCTACTAATGTCATTACGGTTCTTGTAATTTGAATTTATTTATTATTTACAAATAAATTATATAAATAAATAATATATGTTATATAATTAAACATAAAAATTAAAATTAGTACGTATTTAATGTGCAATTATTATTATTACTTATAAATAAGTATTTAAAATACAACTGATTTGTATGAAACTTACTCTACTTTATTTTACTTTTATTTTACTTATTTCGTTTATTTTACTTATTTCTTGTATCTCAGAAATTTCTAATGGATGACAGGACCCAAGCTAAGGGAAGGTTTGAGGTGTACAACTACCTGAAGTCATAGATAACCCCGGCTAACCTCAGATTTTAATTTAATGTTTGGTTCGATCTACGCAAATAAAAAAGATGTAGCATAAATATTTACGAAACTAAAATAAATATGGACCTAGAATAAAGGGCGGACGGTATCTCACTAAGAAACAATTGACGCAAAGCAATGGCGACTGTTTAACTACATATGTGCGAGTAACTAGGCGACCGCGGTTTGGAGCGTAATGGTGGGCGGTAGACTTACTATGGTGTGCATATGTGCGTGCCGGCTTCAAAAGATAAAGATACATTTATTGCATTACTGTGTACAATATGATCTTAGTACAAAAACATATAGTTTTAGTCTCGACAGTTTACCCATTTCTGATATGCAACAATTAAGAAAATAAATTTAAAATTTACTACTAATTTAACATTAATTTTGTTAAAAAACTCATTGAAATTGTAAAAAACGTTTTCAATTAACAATTTCTTTAATTTTGTTTTGAACATATTTCCATTTAATTATTTAATAGCTGGTGGTAACTGATTGTATACACGAATAGCAGTACGAGTACCTAATATAGGTACCTTTATAGTGAATCACATTTTTAGTAATAGGTAAGCTTATATCATATTTATATCGATTGCGAATTGTTTTTCTTTAAATCAGATTTCAAATTGAAATACTGCACGTAGTTTTTAACAAATAGACATAATTCTAGGATGAAGATTCCAGTCAGTGTTAGGAAACCCTTTGTTCTGAAAACATCTCTTAATGTGTGCTTGTTTGTATTAGCGA